AGTAACTTATGGCTGACCATTAATTGTAAATATTCAGTTATATGTTTTAGGATTAAATAGGGCAGTAGACTAAGAGCTAGATGAGCAGGTTACCTAAGATAGATTGTACACATATTTCTATTTAATGGAAAAGAGCCTAAGGAATAAGGCATTCAGTCAAAACTTTGTTAGTCAAAACTTTGTTACCCAGCGACCCGCAACTAGCAGAGCAGAACCCCGACAACGCGGGCACGAAGTGGCGCGAACCAACAATTCACGTGCATCCTCGGTAACCAAGAGGCAGCGGTAGACGACTCGACAAGGCAAATGCACAGCGAGGACGTGGGCGAACGGACGCATTTCAAAATCGTTCGTCCATCCCCGTTGGCTATGTAAATATCTTAGAGTCGACAATTTTATTTTTTTTTTTTTGAAATGTAAGTCCTCAATACTAAAAAAAGATTATGCAGTGTTAGAATTCAATTCGTTAAGTATTGGAATGTGAACATGAATCGACGTTCTTAACCGAATTAATATTTCATTCTTACGACAACCTCTAACTGTTAAAACATCATCGATAGCATACACAGTCCCTATATGCTGTGTACACAACATGGTTATAAGCAAACATAACCGCATGGGCTAATGTGGTGAAGTCGAGTCAGTTATTTCTTATTTACTAATGAAACTTCATCTCAACTTAGTTGTTTTCTTAACATGCTCCGTTTAACTGTATAAATCATAGCTCTTGGAGGACACATTAAAGTATCAAAACTAAGTCACAATTTCATAACATAATAATTGGTAAGTTTATACTTCATGGATTTCAAAAAATTAATCTGTCATGTATATTATTAGATTATAAATCAAAATATTTTAATATGTATTGTTATAAATTATATTGTAATAAAAAATAAACGATGATCATCGAACTGTCATGTAAATTATAAGTTTAGAAAAAAAGTAAAAATATTTATACTATATAAGGGTATAAATTATGATGACAACCCAACTTGTCATTTGTTGAACTATCCATGTAAATTATTTACTTAAAAATAAAAATAAAAATTGTTTATAATGCATTTATTATAAGTTATAATAATAAACCAATGAGTCATATATAGAACAATGATGTAAATTGTTAGCTTAGTAAATCGATAACTGAACTACTTATTTATTAGATATTAATTCCTAAAAAATATATCATTATGTAAACTCTAATAAGCCTATATAGCGTATATAATTATTTAAGTTTAGTTTAATTCATTTATATTTTATAATAAGTATGATTATATAAACATAAAAAAGAATTTTAAAATTATCTATGAATGGTTTATTTAAAATATATTTTTATATAAATATGTAATATTTTTATGTAAAATATGAGTAATAAATAAAAAAAATCAATTATTTGTTTGAAATTTAGATAAATTAAAATGTTATTTAATCATGGTTTATATTACATATCATACATTTATTTTTGTTGTTATTTTTTAGTTTTATTCAAAAGAAACAAATCTTAAAAATAATGAAATTGATAAACCCGCAAACTATTTATCCAATGGTACACCATGGTATAAATGTTTTGGAATGATCATTCTTCCTTAAAGGAAATAGTACAAACTGATAAGCTAGCTTATAGATTATCAGTAATTTTTGAGCTTACAGCTTATAACTTATGATTTATAGCTGAAAAACTAATTTATATGATAAAAATGTTTGATAAAATTAATTAATAAGCTAGCTGAAATAAAATTTTCAACGAGCTTATTTGAAAAGCTACCCAAAAAAGTTTATGAGATAAGCTCGAGCTTTTACTCATTCTGCCAAACAAAACTTATTTAAATACAGAAAGCTTATAAGCTAACTAAATAAGTTATAATCTAGTTTATTTGTCTACCAAACATAGCATAATAAATTTCCAGAGATAGCTTCTTTTTCACTATTAGAAATGAAAAATAATCACCAGTCTCATGAAGTATTTCTGAGTAGATACCAGAATATGTTCTAGAACCACCAAACCTAACATCCGTCAATCCATATACATTATCAATCCTTTTCGAGCCAAAATTTAATTTATACAAGAACGAGGGTATCGTCAGTTGGATAACTAGGGTGAACCAATGCTGGAGGCAAAGAATCATCCTTCTCTTTCAAGTAACAAAGACGAGTGAAACATACGGCAATCAGAATCCATCCAGAAAGACCTCCCTGCATGCTAGGCCTTGTCCCGTCTTCAACTTTCAACCATCTTCATTGATGGGTTTTAGCACTCGGATGACGATTGAAGAAGATTCAGAAATAAATAATTACAAGAACAACCCTCGAGGCTTTTCAATCAATGTACAGACGCAACGAAAACAAATCCCAATTGCCATTCAAATCTATGAGAACCTCCTATCCAAGGGTCTAACTATCATTTGGAAATAAAAGTTGGGGTTTCTTGATATTAGACCAAACCTCGGGGGCATTTTCTGCAATACCGAACGGGCCAAATTGCTTTATTTTATCGCCTGTGATCTTTTTTGCTCCTTTTAAGCAACATGGACATATGCTCGATGTGATTTCCACCGAGCAGCCACTGCAGGGCTTCAGCAGCCGCATTTTTTTCGGCTTGTTTCTTATTTCCAGCTGGCTGGCCCGTGATCTGATTGTCGTTGAATTCAACAATAGACTGAAACTGGCTGTTCGTCATCTGCTTGGTTTTGTAGCTTGGTGGGGCATAGCCCCCACGTGCCACTAGTGTTTGTAGCTGGCTTTTGGGGTTATCACCTCCGGGCCCACTTACCATTTCTTGTGTTACTCTTGGCTTCGGTATTGCCGGTGTTGGTGCATTTTGATTGTACGGCCTCTGTAAATGGCGGGTGAATATGAATCTGCCACTACACTTGTCTTCAGAGATGAGCAGACGTATGGCGGATAAGAGGTCATGGTACGAGTGCACGTCCATTGTGGGGTTTAGGAGCTGAAAATTAGAAATTTGAAAAATAGTACATCTTATAGTCACAGTTCAAAAAGCAGAAATAAGCATAAAAAGCATAGTTTTTAAACCCGGCCCTGTAATCGACTCGGGCAGGTCTCCGGGTCACCGGGTTAATTGTTGAACCGGATAATTAATTTTAAAATTTTTTAAATTATATATAACGTTTTGTCATATAAATATACATAAAAGTAATAAAATTAAATGTTTTGTATGTAAAATTTGTAGATTAAATTGGTAATAATATGTATTTATGATAAACTCCGCCTATGTTGTCTCAACATAGCAGGTCCCAGGTAAAGGAGGAGGGTTGTGATAGGCTTGGCGAGCCAACGTAAAACCTAGCCGTTCTATGGAAATTAGATGAAACACAATAGAAATATGGGGATGTATTTCATGATAAATATTTACTATATAAATATATATACAGTTTTATTTTTTAAAAACAAAAAAAAAATAAAAAAATACAAATATATATATAGGGACCAGGTCAACCGGGTTGACCCATCC